TCTTGAAGCGGTTAATCCAAAAATAAACTGTGCTTTTTGAGTCAGCAGCATCTCCGAAAACACACTGCAAGCACTTGACAATATCAACAGTTTTGACTCCTTCCTTCCACAAAAAGAACATCATTGACCTTTGATTTTTCACCGCGTCTTCCATAATAGAAAAATAGCAAGGGACAGCACGGCCTATAACTCGAGAATGGACTGAGTGAATTGAATGGCATTGACAGGTCGTAATGCTTACATGTTGGCCTACGTATGGGCTGACTCTTGTTACCTTAGCTCTAATCGTTCTTGTTTAATAAATAAATTCCTATTACTTTTCAAACACCCCTCGTATGTGTATAAAGTATAAAGTAACGTGTGAAGTAAGTATAAGTATGTGTCTGTCGAAATGTATGCCAAGAGAGAATGAACCAATATTTCCATCAAAATAATTACACCAATTATTTATTGTGTGCCTGACTTCAAATCCCTTCTTAATCTGTCCTGAGGGGGTCTTATTTGAAAAATAAGAAATGCACTTAGAAATCTAACAGGTACTTCTGCTCTAAGTTTCAAATTTCTTTAGTTCTCTCCTTCATTGAATCAGAAAAGATTCCGGAAAAGGTATATTTTGCAAAAAAATATGCCCTCAGGGGTTTTACTTAAAAATTAACATTTTACTGAAATCAGTACTCAGAAAACAACGTTCATGCCAAGTTTAATCTTTATTTGTGTGCTCTTTTTGCTGGTGCAAAAATATCTTTGGAAAAGCTGACGAAGCCAAAAGCTGTGCCCTAGGGGTATGCACCACAAAACTGGAATTTTTTCTGAACTCACCATCAGCCCATTTGTTGCTGTGCCAAGTTTCATATTATTCTCTTATTCTCTTCCTTAGATTCTATTCTAAATAATGATGTAAAATTCTTGATGATGGGTTTGGGATGGGGAACGGATTTTTAAAAAATCTTGTCATTGTGCCTCACATTTGCCCCTCCCAAATCCATTGTAAACAACACATAAACATGATTTTGCATCATGTCCAGTTGCATCTTTATGCAAAGTGGTGTTCAAATCTTCTAGGCAGTTTTTTTCGTACCATTTGAAAATCATGCATTTTTAGCTATTTCAAACCTGAATTACTCAGGAACAAAAAGGAGATGCTTCGATTTTTGTTCATAGATCTTTACAGACAACTGTCATGAGGGGTTCTGCCCAATTATATGCCAATATATTCATAATTCTCTGAATTATAGTGATTTGACATGTCAAGTCAGAGAATCGTGCAGGAGTTGATCACGTTTTCCCCTGCATGCCTCCTCCCTCGCATAATACACAAAGCTGCTTCCACACATCATGTGACAGAATGACCCATGATTCAGATGATACTAAAATCGTCATCTAGGCTTACAGGTTATCGAAAGGTGGGACTTAATCCTTGTTCCGGTATTTGTAAATTGTAGCAGACAACGCAGTATCATTTCCTTCCTCCCTCACCTCTCACAGTCTCTCACCTGCCTAGGCTTCTCTTCCCTTTGCTTCCTCATGCCCAGGGATGTGAGGTGCTAGCAATCCTCTGCTGCACTACTCACTCCTCCTTATTTCCTCCTTATTTCTGTTTGTTTTCTCTGCTCTTCTCTAACCTCTCTGCCATCAGAGGCCTGCACGGATGAATTTTTCTGGTGAGCCCTTCCGGCCACCATCAGACAGTGTAACCAGACACCAAAGAGAATTTTAGATTTTGCATGTACACAGAATAGAAACATAGCACCAATCCTACCAGCATTCACCAGAATCTATGCTCTACATGGAGAGATGACAATTAAATTAAGTTTTTTAATTTTTGCACCCAGCATTGCACAGCTGAATATCACAGGGTGTCATCTCCTCATACAGAACATAAATTCTGGTGAATGCTGGTAGGATGGTGCCACATTTTCATTTTTTGTACATGTCAAATCCAAAATTCTGTTTGGTGTGTTCCATGCATAGCACAAACAAATACTGATGCATGAAAAGATTTTAATTTAAACTCGAATGCAAAAAAAAAACAATTTTTAAAATTATTTACTGTTATAGTCATTGATTATAAATTTTCCTGTTTTCCAAACTTTTATCTGTTAAAATTGCACTAATATCTTGTTAATATAAAACTATCATTATTTTAGTGTCAACCCAAATATTTATTCAGTTGCATAGTGCTGAGACCACACCGATATTGTAAGAGTGGTTGACCAATTTTCAAATTACCTACTGTGTGTGCATGAAAGGATAGATAGCAGTAAAGGTCGAAAGGACACCCAGAAATCATTTATGATTATAGTTTCTGTAATTCAGTGGCATATCTCTCTGGAATTCACTCTGTCATTGGTGGCAGCATTTGTGTGGAATGACAAACTACATTTGAAGTATTTATAAAATATATTCTTTTAACCTGTAAACCATTAGGAGTTGTGACATCATGTCTGTGGCCCAGCTGACTGTCATTAGTCCTTCTATATATGTGCTGTATAATCCTGTTAATATCTTATTCTATTTTGTACAAAAGGGTTTTTAACTTTTTTTAATACTTTTTTTACCCTTTTCAAGGAATTTTTCCCATGCCGCTGCAAGTTCATTCCATTGAACCAGTGTCCAGCCAGATGTATTAGCATTGATTGAGTCTTGATGCCCTTTTTCCTTTGTCTTGTCAGGGTGGTATCAAGTATTGCAATTCTTTATTGATAATACTTTGCATTGGTTTTCTTCATGATGTAGATGATGGTGGAGGAGCTGAAAGGAGCCTTTCAGGGCATGCAGTGGAGAGAGAAAGTTAAAAAACCCCCACCATGGAGGACAACAGACATGTTGGAAATTCTCCAATTAATGTGGCCCTCAGTCTTTGGAAAGGTGTGGCCCACTGGGTTGCAGGCTATGATTGGCTGTTTACACAAAACCTTCCTGGACCTGTCTGGTAAATATTAAAGTCAGCTTCACTGTGTGTCTTGCATGGCAATTGTTGATCAGTAATGGGACATTACAGGAAAAGGGAAGTCAGCTACTTTGGAGGAAGTGATGGCAGTCACAAGAGCATGGCATGGGTTTTTTAGCACTCTTTCCAGGAACCATAGGTATAGCTACTCCGAAAGGCTGAAGACCACCTTGAAGTGTCTGAAGGTAATATAACATTTGCAGTGAAAGATAATTTTAATTTTGTCTTGTGCAGGATAATATTGCAGGGAAACCTCCCTTACATTTTTTTAGGCAGTTATTCCAGTCTAGTTATGGTCATTTGAGTCACTAGATTATCCAAGGACACTTTCATATGCTCCATTATAGGCTTTGTTGGAGAAGATGGAGTCAGCAGTTAGTGCAATATCGGAAGGTACACAAGGTGATCGTGTGATATCTCCCAAAGGAGGCCTTCCAACTTATGGTCAGACTATTGATATGGAACTGATGGCAATGCCAGATCCTCTTCAGTGTGAAGAAGATAATGACATTGATCCTGTGAATTTGCCTCAAGAGGTGTCCACCTCACATACCATTGTGAATGCTGTGTTGGGTGCTCTGCGTCTCATTTCCTACAATGTCAAAGTTTTCACGTGAGTTGTCTCTTTCACCTTCATATCCACCAGAATCCATAGTGTGTCCTTATTCATTCTGTAGACATCATGGGTATATGTGCCAATGCTCCTCAAATAGGATTTTAGAAGCTTGCCAGTGATATTTCATGCTGTGAAAAACTAAAGGCATGTTTTTGAGGCAATAGTTATGGTTACTTGTCAATTCTTTAATTGTCAAGTGAATTAGGTTTCTTCCTGACCAGTCAGACTCGGCCTCCTTGGAGTTATTTCTCCCATCCTTTGAGGGACAACAGCAAAACTACTGCAGAATCACTTACAAAAATGTCATGCTTATGACTATATGAGGGGATGGTTAAGTGTTTGTTGGGGATACAAGGGGTTTCGTCTAGGGATGGTTATATGGTAGCATGGGGATGTGAGGCATTTATCCTGGGGATGGTTGTGTGGATGCTGCAACTTACCTGTGCTCCTATTCCCCAACAGTGACAATATCCTGTATGTATTGAATGAAACAAGTAGAGACCAAATAGCAATGGTCATTCATCCTCTTCCAAATGAAATGCAGTGTATTGCATACATGCTCCCTCTCTTCCATACACTCAGGTCTCTAACCAGACAGATAGAAATGTAAGTTCACTGGGCTTTTTTTTTAGGTTATTTCCCCTGACTGATTAATGACTTTTTGTCAATTAATTTTGTTTCTGCATGGACAGGTTCCTGAGGAATGTATCTGAAGCTTCATCTGAAGGCCTTGCAATTGCTTTGAATTGCTTTTTTTTCCAACTTGGACTGGAAGAAGAAGCCGCTGGGAGGATTAATCTCAAGCCCTGTCAAGTCTTCCAATATGGCCAACATATTGAGACTCTGTGAGTCTTCATTATGCCATTGCAGAAAGAAACTGGGATTAGTTTTTCTGTATTTTGCAAATTGTTTCCTGTTGAGGAGATGTTGGTAGGTAAGAAAACTGGTCAACATGAAAGGGTGAAGATGCTGGAGATTGATTTGATTGTTGAAACCTATGTGTGAGCTCACAAATTTGTAATATTTCATGAACTGAATAAGTGTTGATTTCCCTCAGGCCCAAATGACTTCATTTGCATTTAGAGATGTGTGAATAACAAGAATAGGTCACATTGTAGCTGTATACATGAGTGAATGCTTGGGCTTCTCTACAGGGAGATGCTAGAGCCTGAGTTGTGGACCTTGAAGGACTGCCAAGCAAAACTTGGAGATCTGCTTGGAGAAGTATGATATGCCAATTCTTGTGTGATACAACCCACCAACCCTGTCTCCAGTCAACCCTATTTTTTTCTGAAGTGACTGACTTTCTTTGGCTTTTGTGTCCAATATATAGTAAATCTACTAAATGATGCCCAGGGGTGTCCACATGGTTCCATCAACTGCATGAACATGTCTGTTTTCTATTGCACCTTGAGCAATGGAACTTCTTTAGTTGTTTTCATTCTATTTATGCAAATCACATGGGGCCTACCTGCTCCATTGAGTTTTGATATCGATATTGATTTTTTAATGCTTCTAAGTAAGCACATTTAAAAAATAAATGCAAATAACATACATGATATTAACTGATCTTGTGTTGCATTTGCCTATGTTTTGGACTCTTTCTGATAAGAATAGAGAAGTCTGCATAGTTTAATGTCATGGCAATGACATGGTAAAACCCAGCCATTATGTGCTTATGAGGAGAAGTCTTATTTAATTTTCCCTCCATTTTGGGAGGGTGGAAATCAAGAATGTAACTAGAGGCGACCCTCCGAGGGGTAGGGGTAGGGAGGGGGGAGGGGGTGTTCGAAGTATTACAGAGACATCTCACTTTCATGAAGCGTGCTTCATGGCAGCGGAATTAGGAATCGACTCGTTCGAGTCCGCTGCTCGGCCATGGAGATGTTTTTGATGTGCGCTCGCTAGATGAAGGATCAACAGTGACATCTACAGGGTGGGGCATAAATACCTGACTGTTTTTTAATTGTGATAACAAATGACTCGGTGGGGTTGTGACCAGGGAGACACCCCATCCCTACGCTTAGCTCCACCACCTGGAATTTACCTTTTTGAAGAGGCCGTGGTCTGGTATCTTGGGTCTGTGGATGGACATTGGACTTTCCTCGAAGGGGGATAGCTAAAACTGAAATTCCCAAGGAAGGCTGAAATATGCCTGTCTGTCACTGACCAGGAAGCCCAAGGGGGGGGGG